GGGGTGCTATGGGGGTGATGGTCCCGTGGGGGGTTATGGGCTGGGGTGGATGGTGCTGAAATGGCCCCCGGGGGGGGGTGATGGTGCAGAGGGTGGTCGTCTGTGAGAGTGGTAGTGCGGGGTGTAATGGTGGCCCGGGGTTTTAAAGGTGGGTGTGGGTGTGGTGGTGCTGTGAGTGTGGTGGTGCTGTGGTTGGGGGCTGTGGGTGTGGGGGTGTTTTTGGGAGAAAGGAGTGCCGAGGGGTGGTAGTGCTGGGAGTGTGATTTTTCTTTTGGGTGTGATGTGCTGTTTGGGGGTGATGGGGCTGAAGGTGGTATGCTGGGTGTGAAAGGTTCCCGAGGGTGTTGGGCGTGCTGTGGGAGTGGGATGCTGGGGGAAAAGGTGCGTGGGTTTTGGTGGGCTTTGGGGGTGATGGTGCTGGGGCGCTGGTGGGTGTGGGTGTGGTTTGGGTGTAGGGATGAAAAGGGGCTGGGGGGTTTTGGGAAAAAGGGTGTTGTGTTATGGTGCCGTGGGTGTGTGGTGGGAGGTGTGGTAGGCTGGGGTTTTGTGGGGCTGAGGGGGTGGTCTGCTGGGGGTGTGGGTTCTGTGGGGTGAAGATGCTTTTGGGGGGGGTAGTGGGTGGATTGTTGGTGCTGGGGTGAGTGGTGCGTGGGGGTGTTTAAGGTGTGTAGGTTTTTATGGTGCTTCGGATGTGGGGGTGCTGTGTGATGTTACCGGGGTGCTGCGTGCGGGTGTGAAAGGGGGTCTTTTGTTGATGTTACAAGTGTGGGGCGTGCAGGGTTTTAAAGTGGTGGGATGTGGTTTGGGGCGTGTGTGTGGTTTGGGGGTGCTAAGGTTTGGAGCGTGCAGGTGGGGATGGGGAGGAGTGTGGGTTAAACTTGGGGGTGGAATGCTGTGGGTGTGGGGGGCGCTGCGGGGGTGGTGCAACGTAGGTTTGCTTTTGTTTTTTTGGGGGGGGATGGGGCTGTTTTGTGGTGGTTTCGGGGGGTGTGAAGGGTACGGGGGTGGGGGGGGGTGCTGTGGGGGTGATGAAGATGTGGTTTGGGGGCAGTGTGGTGGGGGTGAAAGCTGTAGGGGTGGTGGTGCTTTTGGGGGTGGTGGGCTGGAGGGTGTGGTGGTCCCGTAGGTAAATTTCGCTGTTTTGATGGGTTAAACTGGAAGAGTGGTGGCCCGTGGATGGATGGTGCTGCGAATTGGTGCTGGTAGGGGGCCGGGGTTGTGGGCGTTTTTATGCGTGTGGGTGTGGCAGTGCTGAGGATGTAGTAGTGCTGGAAATAAATGGTATAAAATACCGACACAATGGAAATATAAACACAAATGCAGTATAATGTGATCCTTTATTGACAACGTTTCACCCACACAGTGAGCTTTTTCAAGTCACACACGGATCTACCTGGTGTTGGAAGGTACGAGAGTATTTATAGTCATGTTCAGAATGTTGAGGTCAGGTGGAGAATGCTGCATCTGATGATCTACCGGGTGGGGTTATAGAGTCTTGGGTAGCTTGGCAGGGGTATTGGACAAGTTGTGAGTAGACCTTCTGGAGTGTTCTATGTTCTTATGTGGGATAGCGATGAAGAAGTTCAGCTATAACATAGCTGAACCACTCGCCAAGAAACTTCTTCATCGCTATCCCACATAAGAACATAGAACACTGCAGAAGGTCTACTCACAACTTGTCCAATACCCCTGCCAAGCTACCCAAGACTCTATAACCCCACCCGGTAGATCATCAGATGCAGCATTCTCCACCTGACCTCAACATTCTGAACATGACTATAAATATTCTCGTACCTTCCAACACCAGGTAGATCCGTGTGTGACTTGAAAAAGCCCACTGTGTGGGTGAAACGTTGTCAATAAAGGATCACATTATACTGCATTTGTGTTTATATTTCCATGTAGTAGTGCTGTGGGTTTGGTGGTGCTACAATCGTCATAGTGTTGTAGGTGTGGTGGTGCTGTAGGTCTGGTGGTGCTGTAAGTGTAGTGGTGCTATAGGTGTGGTAGTGCTAAGTGGCTGTGGTGGTGCTAAGTGGGTGCGGTGGTGCTAAGTGGGTGTAGTGGTGCTGAGTGGGGGTGGTTGTTCTATAGGGGTGTGGTGGTGCTGTGGGTGTGGTGATGCTGTGAGTGAGGAGGTACTTGTGGGTGTGGTGGTTCTGTGGGGTGTGGTGGTTCTGTGGGTGTGGTGGTTTATGGTGTGGTGGCTGTGGGTGTGGTGTTCTGGATGTGATGGTGCTGAGGGTGTTGTATGACTGTGGGTGGTGTGTGGTGGTAATGTAGATGCGATAGTGGTTTCATGGCTGGTGTGGTGTCTGGGTGGTGTGTATGTGGTGTGCATGGAGGTGGTGTCATGCTGGTGTGGGGTCATGGTGGTGGTGTCATGCTGATGTGGTTGTCATCTCGGTGGTTGTCATGCTGGTGTGGGTGTCATGGTGATGTGTGTCATGCTGGTGTGGGTGTTATGGTGGTGGTGTCATGTGGTGTGGGTGTCATGGTGTTGGTGCCTGCTGATGTGGGTGCCATGGTGGTTGTGTCATGCTGGTGTGGGTGTCATGGTGGTGGTTGTCATGCTGGTGTGGAGTGTCATGGAGGATGGTGTCATGCTGGTGTGGGTGTACGTGGTGGTTGTTCATGCTGGATGTGGGTGTCATGGTGGTGTGTCATGCTGGTGTGGGTGTCATGGTGGTGGTTGTCATGCTGATGTGGGTGTCATTGTGTGGTGTCATGCTGATGTGGGTGTCATGGTGGTTGTGTCATGCTGGATGTGGGTGTCATGGTGGTTGTGTCATGCTGGTGTGGGTGTCATGGTGGTGGTGTAATACTGGTGTGGGTGTCATGGAGAGTGGTGTCATGCTGGTGTGGGTGTCATGGTGTGGTTGGTCATGCTGGTGTGGGTGTCATGGTGGTGGTGTATGCTGGTGTGGGTGTCATGGTGGTTGTGCATGTTGGTGTGGGTGTCATTGTGGTGGTGTCATTGTGTGTGGGTGTCATGGTGGTTGTGTCATGCGGTGTGGGTGTCATGGTGGTGGTGTAACACTGGTGTGGGTGTCATGGTGGTTGTGTCATGCTGGTGTGGGTGTCATGGTGGTGGTGTCATGCTGGTGTGGGTGTCATGGTGGTGGTGTCATGCTGGTGTGGGTGTCATGGTGGTGGTGTAATACTGGTGTGGGTGTCATGGTGGTGGTGTCATGCTGGTGTGGGTGTCATGGTGGTGGTGTCATGCTGGTGTGAGTGCCATGGTGGTGGTGTCATGCTGGTGTGGGTGTCATGCTGGTTGTGTCATGCTGTGTGGGTGTCATGGTGGTTGTGTCATGCTGGTGTGGGTGCATGGTGGTGTGTCATGCTGTGGGGTGTCATGGTGGTGTGTCATGCTGTGTGGGTGTCATGGTGGTGTGTCAATGGTGGTGGGTGTCATGTGTGTCATGCTGGTGTGGGTGTCATGGTGGTGGTGTCATGCTGGTGTGGGTGTCATGGTGGTGGTGTCATGCTGGTGTGGGTGTCATGGTGGTGGTGTCATGCTGGTGTGGGTGTCATGGTGGTGGTGTCATGCTGTGTGGGTGTCATGGTGGTGGTGTCATGCTGGTGGGGTGTCATGGTGGTTGGTGTCATGCTGGTGTGGGTGTCATGGTGTGGTGTCATAGCTGGTGTGGGTGTCATGGTGGTGGTGTCATGCTGGTGTGGGTGTCATGGTGGTGGTGTCATGCTGGTGTGGTGTCATGTGGTGGTGTCATGCTGGTGTGGGTGTCATGGTGGTTGTGTCATGCGGTGTGGGTGTCATGGTGGTGGTGTAACTGGTGGGGTGTCATGGTGGTGTGTCATGCGTGTGGGTGCATGGTGGTGGTGTCATGCTGGGGGTGTCATGGTGTGGTCATGCTGGTGTGGGTGTCAGGCTTGTGGTGTCATGTGGTGGGTCATGTGGTGGTTGTGTCATGCTGGTGTGGGTGTCATGGTGGTGGTGTAATACTGGTGGGGTGTCATGGTGGTGGTGTCATGCTGGTGTGGGTGTCATGGTGGTGGTGTCATGCTGTGGGTGCATGGTGGTGGTCATGCTGGTGTGGTGTCATGTTTGTGTCATGCTGGTGTGGGTGTCATGGTGGTTGTGTCATGCTGGTGTGGGTGTCATGGTGGTGGTGTCATGTGGTGTGGGTTGTCATGGTGGTGGTGGTTCATGCTGGTGTGAGTGCCATGGTGGTGGTGTCATGCTGGTGTGGATGTCATGGTGGTTGTGTCATGCTGGTGTGGTGTCATGGTGGTTGTGTCATGCTGGTGTGGGGTGTCATGGTGGTTGTGTCATGCTGGTGTGGGTGTCATGGTGGTGGTGTCATGCTGGTGTGGGTGCCATAGTGGTGGTGTCATGCTGGTGTGGGTGTCATGATGGTGGTGTCATGCTGGTGTAGGTGTCATGGTGGTGGTGTCATGCTTGTGTGGGTGTCATGGTGGTGGTGTCATGCTGGTGTGGGTGTCATGGTGGTGGTGTCATGCTGGTGTGGGTGTCATAGTGGTGGTGTCATGCTGGTGTGGGTGTCATGATGGTGGTGTCATGCTGGTGTAGGTGTCATGGTGGTGGTGTCATGCTGGTGTGGGTGTCATGGTGGTGTTGTCATGCTGGTGTGGGTGTCATGGTGGTTGTGTCATGCTGGTGTGGGTGTCATGGTGGTGGTAAAACACTGGTGTGGGTGTCATGGTGGTTGTGTCATGCTGGTGTGGGTGTCATGGTGGTTGTCATGCTGGTGTGGATGTCATGGTGGTGGTCTCATGCTGGTGTGGGTGTCATGGTGGTGGTGTCATGCTAGTGTGGGTGTAATGGTGGTGGTGTCATGCTGGTGTGGATGTCATGGTGGTGGTCTCATGCTGGTGTGGGTGTCATGGTGGTGGTGTCATGCTGGTGTGGATGTCATGGTGGTGGTCTCATGCTGGTGTGGGTGTCATGGTGGTGGTTTCATGCTGTTGGAAAGTAACATGGGTGTAGGTGGTGACGTGGGTTCAGGGGTACTCACCGAATGCGTGAAGGTAGTAGGTGCGATGATGGTGTGGGCGTGGTGGTGGGCGGCGGGCGAGGTGTGGGCGGCGCGGGCGGAGCGTCGATGAGACCAGAGTCTCGCGCCCATCTTAGAGTGGCCCAACACACAGGACACGACCGCCGTCACCAGCACCGCGGCCAACACGATCACCAGCACGTGTAGACCGTTCACTGTCAGGGAGAGAGAATGTGAGAGTCAGTAAGTGCACTGTCAGGGAGAGAGAGTGTGGGAGTCAGTACGCTGTCAGGGAGAGAGGGAGTTAGTACGGTCACTGTCAGGGAGAGAGCGAGGGAGAGTCAATACGTTCACTGTCAGAAATAGAGTGAAGGAGAGTCAGTACGTTCACTGTCAGGGAGAGAGGGAGTCAGTACGCTAACTGTCAGGGAGAGAGTGAGGGAGAGTCAGTACGTTCACTGTCAGGGAGAGAAGGAGTCACTTCGCTCACTCTCAGGGAGAGAGTGACGGAGAGTCGGTACGTTCACTGTCAGGGAGAGAGTGAGGGAGAGTCAGTACGTTCACTGTCAGGGAGAAAGTGAGGGAGAGTCAGTACGTTCACTGTCAGGGAGAGAGAGTGAGGGAGAATCGGTACGTTCACTATCAGGGAGAGAGGGAGTCAGTACGCTCACTGTCAAGGAGAGAATGAGAGAGAGGCAGTACGTTCACTGTCAGGGAGAGAGTGAGGGAGAGTCAGTACGCTCACTGTCAGGGAGAGAGAGCGAGGGAGTCAGTACGTTCACTGTCAGGGAGTGAGTGAGGGATAGTCAGTACGTTCACTGTCAGGAAGTGAGTGTCGGTACGTTCATTGTCAGGGAGAGTGTCAGTACGCTCACTGTTAGGGAAAGCAGGAGTCACTACGTTCACTGTCAAGGAGAGAGTGAGGGAGAGTCAGTACGTTCACTGTCAAGGAGAGAGGGAGTCAGTACGCTCATTGTCAGAGAGAGAGTGAAAGAGAGTCAGCACGTTCACTGTCAAGGAGAGAGGGAGTCAGTACGCTCCTTGTCAGGGAGAGAGTGAGGGAGAGTCAGTACGTTCACTGTCAGGGAGAGAGTGAGTGTCAGTACATTCACTGTTAGGGAGAGCAGGAGTCACTACGTTCACTGTCTAGGAGAGAGTGAGGGAGAGTCAGTACGTTCATTGTCAGGGAGAGAGTGAGGGAGAGTCAGTGCGTTCACTGTCAGGGAGAGAAGGAGTCACTTCGCTCACTCTCAGGGAGAGAGTGACGGAGAGTCGGTACGTTCACTGTCAGGGAGAGAGTGAGGGAGAGTCAGTACGTTCACTGTCAGGGAGAGAGTGAGGGAGTCAGTACGTTCACTGTCAGGGAGAGAGAGTGAGGGAGAATCAGTACGTTCACTATCAGGGAGAGAGGGAGTCAGTACGCTCACTGTCAAGGAGAGAATGAGAGAGGCAGTACGTTCACTGTCAGGGAGAGAGTGAGGGAGAGTCAGTACGCTCACTGTCAGGGAGAGAGAGCGAGGGAGTCAGTACGTTCACTGTCAGGGAGTGAGGGATAGTCAGTACGTTCACTGTCAGGAAGTGAGTGTCGGTACGTTCATTGTCAGGGAGAGAGGGAGTCAGTACGCTCACTGTTATGGAAAGCAGGAGTCACTACGTTCACTGTCAATGAGAGAGTGAGGGAGAGTCAGTACGTTCACTGTAAAGGAGAGAGGGAGTCAGTACGCTCCTTGTCAGGGAGAGAGTGAGGGAGAGTCAGTACGTTCACTGTCAGGGAGAGATTGAGTGTCAGTACGTTCACTGTTAGGGAAAGCAGGAGTCACTACGTTCACTGTCTAGGAGAGAGTGAGGGAGAGTCAGTACGTTCATTGTCAGGGAGAGAGTGAGGGATAGTCAGGACGTTCACTGTCAGGGAGAGAGTGTGTCAGTACGTTCACTGTTAGGGAAAGCAGGAGTCACTACGTTCACTGTCAAGGAGAGAGTGAGGGAGAGTCAGTACGTTCACTGTCAAGGAGAGAGGGAGTCAGTACGCTCATTGTCAGGGAGAGAGTGAGGGAGAGTCAGTACGTTCACTGTCAGGGAGAGAGTGAGTGTCAGTACGTTCACTGTTAGGGAGAGCAGGAGTCACTACGTTCACTGTCTAGGAGAGAGTGAGGGAGAGTCAGTACCTTCATTGTCAGGGAGAGAGTGAGGGAAAGTCAGTACGTTCACTGTCAGGGAGAGAGTGAGGGAGAGTCAGTACTTTCACTGACAGCGAGAGAGTCAGTACGGTCACTGTCAGGGAGAGAGTGAGGAAGAGTCAGTACGTTCACTGTCAGGGAGAGAGTAAGGGAGAGTCAGTACGTTCACTGTCAGAGAGAGAGTGAGGGAGAGTCAGTACGTTCACTGTCAGGGAGAGAGTGATGGAGAGTCAGTACGTTCACTGTCAGGGAGAATGTGAGGGAGAGTCAGTACGTTCACTGTCAGGGGGAGAGCGAGGGAGAGTCAGTACGTTCACTGTCAGGGAGAGAGAAGTCAGTACATTCACTGTCAGGGAGAGAGTGAGGGAGTCAGTACGCTCACTGTCAGGGAGAGAGGAAGTCAGTACGCTCACTGTCAGGGAGAGAGTGAGGGAGTCAGTACGTTCACTGTCAGGGAGAGAGTGAGGGAGAGTCAGTACATTCACTGTCAGGGAGAGAGTGAGGGAGTCAGTACGCTCACTGTCAGGGAGAGAGTGAGGGAGTCAGTACGTTCACTGTCAGGGAGAGAGTGAGGGAGAGTCAGTACGTTCACTGCCAGGGAAAGAGTGATGGAGAGTCAGTGCGTTCACTGTCAGGGAGAGAATGAGAGTCATTACGTTCACTGTCAGGGAGAGAGTGAGGGAGAGTCAGTACGTTCACTGTCAGGGAGAGAGTGAGGGAGAGTCAGTACGTTCACTGTCAGGGAGAGAGTGAGAGTCAGTACGTTCACTGTCAGGGAGTCAGTACGTTCACTGAGAGTCAGTACGTTCACTAAGAGTCAGTACGTTCACTGAGTCAGTACGTTCACTGAGTCAGTACGTTCACTGTCATTTAGAGGGTGCGCGAAACTGTCACCACGTACTGGAAACTTTCACCATGTGGAAATATATAAATAGATAAATAGAGAGAGAGAGAGAGAGAGGAGAGAGAGAGAGAGAGAGAGAGAGAGAGAGAGAGAGAGAGAGAGAGAGAGAGAGAGAGAGAGAGAGAGAGAGAGAGAGAGAGAGAGAGAGAGAGAGAGAGAAAGAGAGAAAGAGAAAGAAAGAAAAGAGGAGAAAGAGGAGAAAGAGAGAGGAAGAGAGAGGAAGAGAGAGAGGAGAGAGAGAAGAGAGAGAGAGAGAAAGAGAGAGAGAGAAAGAGAGAGAAAGAGTCACCAGCTAGTGGAAACACTCATTGTAAGGGAGACTGACGTGGCCTTCCCCTGAAACATACTATCTTCTTTTTTTTCCTGGGAGACATCCTTACAAAGGCTATGCAAATGTACGCAAGGAAGACAAAGCCAATCAAACCTGAAGAGCACAATGTGCCCACACGAGGATCATGCTGGAAGGCTCCTCACAGCACAATGTGCCCACACGAGGATCATGTTGGAAGGCTCCTCACAGCACAATGTGCCCACACGAGGATCATGTTGGAAGGCTCCTCACAGCACAATGTGCCCACACGAGGATCATGCTGGAAGGCTCCTCACAGCACAATGTGTCCACACGAGGATCATGCTGGAAGGCTCCTCACAGCACAATGTGTCCACACGAGGATCATGCTGGAAGGCTCCTCACAGCACAATGTGTCCACACGAGGCGCTAAACCCGTGTGAGTCATTCAACTCTAGGGGTAGTGAAGTAAAGTAATAATTCAAAGGCTTCCTCACAGGTATACTCCATGTAATTTGACAATACTCACCTGATCTGAACCCAATACCAACCAGTAACATTTCTGTTAACAAAAATCCTCATTTTTAGTTCAAACTACAACTATGATATCTCCATGTGTACTGTGTTCCTTAACCAGCTGATTCACAGCTCTTAAATACCTAAGGTAACGTAACAGGGGTTGAGTTTGAGTGGGAGGGGCTGGGTTTGACTGGTGTCGTGGGTACGGGAGTAAATTCTCGGGTAGCTTTGGATAATGGTGGTTTTGATAAGGACCTGGCCTTGTATGGGCCAGTAGGCTTTCTGCAGTGTTCCTCCATTCTAATGTTCATATTTTTACTTACATTCAGTGTACGCATACCTTTACTTTCCTGTACAGTTTTTAATGGTTCCTAATCCTATAATACTTCCATTCCAATTTACAATGCCTGGTCTGAGGCTGGGCCACGGGAAAGATAATCTCCAGGCTGACTAACAGAGAATTGTGGGAAAACTAGTGTTTCCCCGTTCTAGACAAAGGTCACAAGTGGGATGGGGGGCTCTAGATGGGCGATGGGGTTAGTGGGGGAACAGAAGGTGTCTCATTCATTTCCCCAGCCACACAGAGGCAGCTGCATTGCCATACTTCCCCCTTAGGACTTAATTGTAAGTTAGTTAAGCTGCGACCTACTAGTAAGTTTAGCATCTAGCCTAAAACTATACTTCAGATAGTTAAGTTTGACTAATGATATAAGTTCTAATGATATAAGTTCGTAGGTACAACAGATGCCTCATCACTGTATGCCTTTAATCTGGCACAAACGTGCCAGTGTAGGCCGCAGTTTGGAAGCTCATATGAGGCTTCGATGTCAATTCCTATGAATATCTCATTGACATATTAAGCAATTAGTCAGTATCAGTTAGGTAATTATGTTAGGTAAGACACATGCAACAGTTAGGTATCTTTATTTCGAAACGTTTCGCCTACACAGTAGGCTTCTTCAGTCGAGTACAGAAAAGTTGATAGAAGCAGAAGATACTTGAAGACGATGTAATCAGTCCATCACCCTTGATGGACTGATTACATCGTCTTCAAGTATCTTCTGCTTCTATCAACTTTTCTGTACTCGACTGAAGAAGCCTACTGTGTAGGCGAAACGTTTCGAAATAAAGATACCTAACTGTTTGAACATTAAAATGGTATAAAATACCGACAGGTTGTTAGGTAAGACACATATGCAACAGTTAGGTATCTTTATTATGAAACGTTTCGCCTACACAGTAGGCTTCTTCAGTCAAGTACAGAAAAGTTGATAGAAGCAGAAGATACTTGAAGTCGATGTAATCAGTCCATCACCCTTAAAGTTT